ATATTATTATTATTAAGAATCGGGGCGCCGCAGCATCTAAATGGTGAAAGAATGTTGAAAAAAAGAAAAAAAAACCGGTTTAAAAAAAAAAAAAAGAAAATTAAAAAAAGGGAAACCGAGGTCGGTTCGAAAGAAAAGGAAAAAATTTTAGAAAAGAGAAAAAATTTGGATTAGATATACAATGTAATACCTATGCCCGTGATAAATCACGTTGCCACCATAGATACAATACTTTAATATAATTATTTATTTATTATTTACATTATCAAACCAAGCATATTATTGAATTCATTTATATTATTAATGAAGTTCAATAATTTCTCCATATTAATAAATTAGCCATTTCATAAAATTTAAAACTTCCAAAAAAAATTAATTCCCTTTTGGGAGGTCGCGTTATCCTCTGAATTTATATTTGTTTTTGTTACACTAGATCCTTAACTTCATTTGTGGATACTGTGTGATATTTCAATAATAAATTTCCACAAATAAATTTTCTACAAATTGACATTTTACCCCAAACGATTATCCTGATATTATTTAATTTGTGAAACCAATTTAATCACCTGATATTCTATTTTACCTGATTCAATGGTCTACTTAGTTTATCGTCATTTTCGGACGTTAATTTTAAACGTCATACAATTTTAAAATATTACACTAATTCTAAATATAATACTGCGCCCCACAATTAATAAATTTACTACGGCATTACAACAACATGACTTGCCGATCAAGCGGGTCTTAACTATAAAGAATACGGATCAGCAATTCAAAATTAATTTATCTAAACACTAGTTGTAGCCCGTCGCGCTGCGCCGGGGAATGGAGGGTGCATAATGATTAAAGCAAGAGAGTAATATAGCAATATATTTGTAGCATACCCGATTTGCAATACAGGTTTTTATTGTTATCATATCATTACAATTGTATTAGTATAAGGCAAAAAAATGTAAATAATTTGATATCTCTATGACCAATAGAAGGCGAGTTATTCCATATTTTTTCTTCAGAATCGCAGATTCTAAATTATTGATAAATACATATGAACTTATCACCGCCTTTTAATAGTCAAATTTTATGGTTCACTGGTGGATCACGAATTAATTGTTTCCAGAAGTCCATTTTGCCTCCAGGTGGTGTTCCTATAAAACTATCAATAAAATGTTAGGAAATGTTCTTAAACAAAATTAGCAAAAGAAAACCTTTTGTCTCCAAGAATCTCTGGAAGGACTAATATAACTAAAAAGTCATATAAAATTGTATAACGATATAATGTGTATTTATCTGTATTATTGATTTATTGTCTGTTATTTTTTAGTTAAATTTTTGGATCGGTAAATCAATATCATGAATACCGATCAATCTGATCATTTATATCACCATTTTATCATTACAAATGCCGATCATTTTATATAATAAATCATTAAATCATACTATGAAGACCAATCATTTTTGTTGACTGAAATTATGATAGCTTTATTACCAAATTACCAAAATTTAGATATTTTAAAAAAAGCTATTATAAAATTAAAATTATCTATAATATTATAATTTCGTATGATTTAACATAAAATATATTTTTGATCCCTGTTTCATATGATACATCTACATAACATATTATAAATTAATTTTTTCATTATATAGCACATATTAAAGTAAGTTAAATAAAAAAATTCTATAATATTTAGATTACCCTGTATAAATAATTTGAATTGTGTAATGGGTGGTTTGTCTGCTCCCGAAATATTTGATCTATATTATTATGGTTAAAATCCATTAATCAGTAAATTATAGCATTAATACCAAATTGCTAATCATTGCTATTTTATTGCTGAAATTAAAAAAAAAATTAATTAGCCCGTTTATTGATTACAAATACTTATTATTATAACTATGTACTCTTTTCATGATTAGATTGAAGGTCCTGAAAGTGTGATCCAAAGTATTCGTGTCAGATATTTACTAATTAGATTCCAATTTTTTAAAATAAAATGCAATTAAATGTTTTTGTGATTTTTTTTCTTATAACAATGGGACACAATTATTTTTTTTAAAAATTATATTTATTTCGTCAATAACAATATTTTTTTCGTAATAATAATATTTTTTTCTTCAATAACAATAGGATACAATGTAATTTTTTTTGATATTAATAATGATAACTTTTAATATTATTCATTCAATATTAAAATTTTTCGATAACAATAAATTCCACAAATACATTATTTTTATCAAAATGTTCTTTTGATAAATCATAAATCATCAACATATATTTTATTTTTGTGATAATATATATAAAGCATCAATTTTCCATCAACATAATATGTAATATTTTGTTAATACTAAATTAATATGGCTTCACTTCAGGAAACATTTGAAGATAAAACGCCTGAACAATGTAAAAAAAGATTAAATAATGAAAGTCAAACCTGTACAGACATGCATAAATCTCATAGATATCAGTGAATTAAAATTCTCATATTACATCAAGAGAACTGTCAGACAAAAAACATTGTATATAATGAAATTTTTCAAAATATTTAACACTCATTTATTGTAAATATAATTTAAATTACTTTAATGCACTATAATTATATTATTCTAATATATAGCTACATTATTGTAAATATAATTCATATCATTTCTAAATATAATTTATATTATTCTAATACTGTAAATATCATTTTACTAATTGTTAATATGATTTAATATATCTTATTTTAATATTTTTTTGTTAACTAATTATTAACTATATATCAAGTTTTAATTAATAAACAAAAAACTGTAACCATTTTTAATTTACATTATAATACCAAATTGTTCTATTTAAACAAACTCATTAGGTCCAGTGCGAAGCAACAGGTAACTGCTAGTATATATATAAAATAATTAGTACTGTTAGGCGCAAATGAATCATGTGAATCATGCGATACAATTCAAAGATTATTTATACAGGCTAATCTAAACGTTAGAAGATCGACATGTATTTTTTTATTATATTATATAGATTACTGAATTTTTTTATTATATTATAAAAAGAATAACTCAAAAAAAAAGTTATAACGGGAAAAAATGCTTGAATAAAAAAATTACGTAAAAAAAGGGTTCAGTCTATATAACTGATTTAACCTTTTCAGGATCGATGATCTAACCAAAAAGAATATAATTTTTTTATTAATTATATAATTAAAATTAGTAATCAACAAGATGAAGCGTTGGATTATTCTAATAATTAATGTTGGATGTAGTTGGATTTAAAAGAATGGTTTAAGAATGATGTAGGATAATGAAGATATATTTTGATAGGAATAAATTTTGTTCACGTGCAATCATGAGGACAAAATTTTTGAGTCAGGCAAAATTGCAAAATTGCAACTTTCTTTTTGTCACATGGCTCCTTTCTTTGCCTTTGCCATATCGATATAAATCCTATAGTTTTTTCCTCTGCTTATAATCCTAATTTTTAATCTTTTTCTTCAAAATTAAGCTCCTCTAAAATTTTGATTTTGGTTAACCCTTTAATGCGTACCTTTTTTCACAAACAATATCTTTTTGAGGAAATATCAAATCTCCCCATACAAAGGGTAAAATATTTCAAAATTTTATGTAAATAACTTAATAAATAACTTTCGTCAAGATTCATTCTGTATTTTCCTCTTTTTTTTTTTATTTGCAATATTGCTTTCAAGGTAGGAAAAAAAAGATATAGAGCACGGAGTTTTATCTCCAAGTTGACATGCCCTAAATAAGTTCATTTTTCCTTAGAGCCTTAAGAATTAATATATTAAAATAAATTCCTCTTGAAAAAAAAAAATCTAAATAAGTTAAGCCGTACAACATCTGGCGCGGCAGAATGACCTTTTTGATCACGTCCAGCCTCCGACAAATTCATCCGAAAATTCCTAACATATTCTACATTGTTGTATTAATTATAACGAAATATCCTATGATGAAATTGTATGTTTATTAATAAGTTATTTAATGATAAAGATTAAAGAAGACGAGTATATTTTTTTTACCGATAAAAAAAAAATCAGATTTCGTGTTAATTGTTTCCTCCCTCTTAGTTAATAATTGAGTAAAAAATTTCTCGAAATTGAAACATCATGAAAAAATTTGTGGTCACGGGTATCGCACAAAATCACAAATTTAGTTTTATCGCGTCCATCTTTTTTTTTCACGACAGGTTCCGTTTCCTAGTCTATAAATTTTAAGTTTTATATTAGTAACGTTATGAAATTAATTTCGCTTATTAATATATATTAACGTTTTTAGTAAATAAAACATCAATTAAATAAAGAGATAATTACAAGTATTTAGTTAACGGACATACGAATAAATTTTAACATGAATTTATCAAAGTTAAAATCTTCAAATATTATAATAGTAATAATAGTAATGATCAGGTTTCTTTTTTACATAAGCAAGAACCTGCAAACGCGAAGGTTAACTACAAACTTTAATTAATCATCAGGTTTCTGCAACGCGAATTGATGTCAAACTAATATACTTGCAGACGCACACGCAGTACAAAAATGTGACGTACTCAAAGGTGACACAACTGTATGATTATTTATTGAGATATCCTGATTGGATTATGCATTTCTCTTTTTATGCAATTTGAAGATCATCAAGTTTCAAGTTAGATAATTTAGGATGCAATTTGGGAACATCAATTCCATAATTCCGAAAATAAGCACCTTATTGCAACTTTGACCATATATGTGATGACAATTAAAAGTAAAATAAAAAAAATGTTGCTTATTTTCGGATTTTACAAAAATGATCATATAAAAAGGTTATTTGTCAATTCGGTCAATAAAATCTTTTTGCGAAAAAAAAATATCCTTTTTTTTGTAAGAAATACATAATATTGAAGAAAAATTTTTCAAAATTTTTAGCGAAAATAAATAAAATAACTTATTAAATCTAACAGTTATAAAAAAAGTATTTCGTTAGCTGTTAAAAAAAATATTTTTTACATATTTATTATATTTATTTTTTCACGCCACCACGCACAACTTTCTTTATTCTCATTTACTCTTTATATAATCTATATAATTTATATAATTTTATTATTATATTTTTCCTTAGAAATCTTAGAAATCGCTTCATTTTCATAAACTGAAAAAAAAACATCAAAATGAGTTCAACCAATTCACCAAGTTCTGCTGATAACCCAGAGGAGAATCGTCAAGCGGAAACAGGTGTGGCGCAGTACCGCTCGTCTCAACACTTACCAGCTGATTTTACATGTCTTCAACATATTCATCCTTCTGTCTTTTTCTATCGACCACCAAATGATTTTTACCACTATCTTATTAAATGTAACGAATTAACTTATGATGCCATTATGAGATTATTAAAGATGTTATTTAATGATAATGATAAAGAAAATAACATGAAGTCTAAAGAAAACGAATATATCTTCTTTTATCGACAAGAATATGATGGTCGATTTTATCAGATATCATGTGAAATTGTTTCTCCTCTTTTAGTTAATAATTGTTTGAGTAAAAATTTTCTCGGAATTGAACTTCAACAATGCATGGAACAAGAACATTTGGCATTTAACGTTGATCAAAAAGATTTTCTTGAACATCATTTGAAGCAATACTTAAGTCAATACATATTAAACTAAACGAATGAATAATGAAAGCTAATATAGGGTTAATCTATAGAATTTTTATATTAGTGACGTCGCATAAGTTGCTAAATATGTGTTTAGTGCTTATTAATAAATTAATAAACGTAAAATTTTTTTTAAGACATTTTCGGAACATTATGTCACGTGATGTTAGTTAAACGGATTATTATGTATTTTTGAATAAATGAGAACTGCGCCTTGTCGATCATTTTTCAATAAATCCCCCGTTGCACCGAAAAACAATCACCCACAATAAATTACCGGATTTGGGGGTCGTCTAAAGCCGTGTTCGATCACGTGATTTTTCATATTAACTATGTGACAAGTAGTGGTGTGACAAATAAAATTCCACCCACCGAAAAAATTCTAAGTCCCCAGGATAAATAGTAAAAATGGAAAAAAGGGGAGTGATGTAGGAGGTGATGAATTTTTCAAAATCACGTGATCGAACACGGCTTTAGACGTTCCCCGGATTTGACAAAATTTACATAGCAATTTTCATGTTGCATATAAGTTTACGAATTTTTAATAAAATTTAGCCAGAATTTTTTTATTTGAAAGTTGATCGTAGATAGTTTTTATGTATCAAAATAAATAAATATGATTAATTATAAATATAAAAAATTTTTTCATTGCAAAATAATATAAAAAATCATGAAATTCTCACTTTTTTTCAGCAATGGGTCAACTCTTTAAAATTTTAGAAAATTTTCTTTATTTTTTAATACATGAAAGCTACAATTGATTGGCTTTCAAATAAAAAATTTTTGACTGAATTTTATTGAGAATTCATAAAGTTTCATATCTGTCTCTTATACACATCTAGATGTGTATAAGAGACAGATTATGACCTTAGTAAAAATGTTGATTAGTATGAGTTACAGTATAATACCTAATAGATATCTTTTGAATTCATTGACAAACAATTTAAAATAATTACATAATCTATATTATGCAGTATTTCTTTTGATTCGAAAAAGAAATTTAATTAGTAAAATATCNATTTTTTGTATTATTTTGCAATGAGAAAACTTTTTTATATTTATAATTAATCATATTTATTTATTTTGATACATAAAAACTATCTATGATCAGCTTTCAAATAAAAAAATTCTGGCTGAATTTTATTAAAAATTCATAAACTTATATGCAACATGAAAATTGCTATGCAAATTTTGTCAAATCCGGTAATTTATTGTAGGGCAGTGTATTACCGTGCCAAATATAAAAAATGGGCGCAGTACGCGTAAAAAAAGAAAAAATGACACAAAATTATCTTCCTGGTACGTGTTATACATGTTAAAAATGTCTATTTTGCTTTAAGGATTTACAAGTAAAGACTTGTAAGTGTGTAAAAATCACTAAACCAAAGAGAAAAACTAAGCCAAAACGTGCACAGCAAATTTATCCTCGTTTGTTTAAGCCGAGCCAAAGCTTACTAGCAAACCAATTCCTTTTTTCTGCAAATACGAAGTTTCAATATAATAGTGATTTCAATAAAGAATTTGCCTTTACTTTCTGTTCTACTTGTAACAATAAGTTTCAACGTTTGAAATATAAAGACAAGTTAACTAAAAAGTTGCCCAAAACACCAACTAAAAAGATGGATAAAGAATCTGATAGTACTTTTGAAATTGATAATAGTTCATCTCCTGAATTTTTTGATGATGAATATAAGGATATTGAGGAGATCAAATTGTATATAATTGTTGATAAAAGGGGTAAAAAGTCTTCATCCAAAGCTTTGGTTATAAAGCCAGTTGAATATACGAATGTTATGGAAAAAATCAATGCCGTTGTTCAAAAGGCATTTCAAAATGAAAATATTAAGTTATCAGACTACAGTATGTCATATAAAGCAATGAATGCACGTAGTCCTTCAAGTGAATTAGAAGATAAATGTGATTTTGATGAATTTATTGAAGATTACAAAAAAGTTATTGCAGCTAATAAAAAAATGGCAGTAATGATAGAACTTGAAGATTCTACAAATGAAAAAGTAAAGAAAACAGAAAAACGTTCAAAGGTAATAACAAGAAGTTAGAAAATACAACAATCTTTTATTTTTTTTATTCATTTAACTAATAAAAATTACTATTATAGGTTTCTGATGAAAGTGAATTATCAACTTCTGAAGAAGGAAACGTGTCATAATATTCAAAAAAAAAGAAAAAGTCTCGTATTCTTCGAGAAGATGATTTATCTAAAGAAGAAAAGACGCGAGCAGAAGTAATTTCTGCTTTAAGTAAAAAATATGAGTGTGATATACACTTTACGTTCAAGATAATCATTATTTGCAACTTAATCCAGCTAGATTGCAAATCTGGGCGCGTGAAATTGTAAGTTATCTTAAATTTCAAAAAATAAAACTAATTTATATCATAATTGTAATCTATTGCAAATTCAAAATTTGCAATTGGACCTGTCGATAATCAAATTGATGTAAGAAATTACTTTATTTTAATTTTTTTTTATTTTTTTTTTTTTTTGTTTTAAAATTAAATTTCACACTATATTATACATATATTATCTGCATGTGTATCCAGTTAATCTTAACCACTGCTACTATTTTACCTATAAATGTTGTAGACACAGCTTCGGTATCAGATTTAGTACTTACTACGAATCTTGGTATACAATTTGAATGTTACTATATTGGTAAAGATAAACCAACTGAGATTCCAATCACATTATTCCATCCAAATGAAAGCTGCTTAAAAAGTCAGACTACAGTGTTAAAACGTGGTTCTTCCATTTTTTTTTCAGGTGCTTTAACATCAACTGAGGAAAGTTTTATCCAGAACTATATAATTTTAATTTTATTCGTATTCAACAATCAAATTTAATATCAATCTACCAGGAAAATGCCCTGGTCTTCTACATCATCATCATCATCATCACCACATATGATAGCCACGAGATCTGCAATCCATAAAAAAATTAAACAACAATCCGCACCTGTACTAGGAAAACATGAAATTACTACAAAAATTTTCAGCCAACTAAATTAACTAAATTAACAAAATTCTCAGATCCACACTCATAGTGACTGAAGAAATTCAAGAGCGGGAAGAACAGGAAGAATCTGCATCTATACTTATTACACCTGCAACTACACCTGCAACTACACCTCCATCAAAAAAACGCGTAGGCCATGCAAAAGTTTAATAATTTATTAAATTATAAATATTTTCACATATTTTTTTTTATTTTATCCTGCTGTAATACAAAAAAAAATTGTTTTTTTTCTGTAAATAAATTTGAAATTAGATTTAATTAATTGAGTAAAGAATACACAATATTTTTTTCAACTTTTCTATGTTACAAAAAAAAAAAAAGTAATAGCAGAATAATAATATATTTAACGTAAAATAAATTAATTAAAAATGCAAAATTGTTAATCAACAGGTTGTTTATTTGTCACCAATTTATTCATTAAATAATTATTTTCCTGTTAAAAAGTATAATTACTAAAGGAAATAGGTAGATCAAGAAGAAAGTTAGACATGTTAAAGTGACTTAACAGTATGTAGCTTTATAGGCCAACAAGATCATAATAATTTGTATTTTAAAAAAAAATTCTTTAAATAAAATAAAAAACGTATTTTTTAAAAAAAGTAAATTTTAGTGGTACATGTGATGTTTCTTTTTCTTTAAAAAATAAATATCACATTTTTTCTTCATATTAACATGTCAAAGTTCTTGCAGGTAATGGTAAAACCTCCCAAACAAAAACATTGTCTATAATGAAATATTTCATTCTATTTAAAATTTAAAATACGGTTAATTTAAAATACCTACTATAACTATTATAACTATTATAATAACTAATTTTCATAATTTTAATTAGCCAGGCCTGCGTGAAACGCGGGCATCCAGCTAGTCTTACTATAAAATAATATTAATTTTTGTAAAAATGTTTACACTTGGATTGTCTCCCTTTTTTCGCCCACTTTGGTTAAAAATGATTCTTCTAACTTATATAAAAGCATCTTTACGGTTAAATTTAGGTTTACTCGGAATATATTCCGGAAATTATATTATTCTGCATGAGAAACTCCCTGAACATTACATTGCACCACAAATAATTTCATTGAACTTGATCATCAACATCTCAAAATATTTTATAAAAATTTACGGAAGCAAGTCGCTCAACTTGAAAAATCAAATGCTAAAAAAACTATAAAAAAACTTGTAAAGGTTCGTCAATTAGCAAGAACTATTTCACAATACAGGCTCAAACACAATCAATACATATCAATAACTCGTGCTGCAACTCACAAACCTTCATAATTAATAAGCGTGAAAAAAAGCAAACATTTTATTTGAGAATCTAAAAAATTACACTAAAATAAATTATTAAAATAAATTTAATTTATGAATAATTAATTAAAATAAAAAATTAATATAAAACGAAAAATCTGTAACATGGAAAACTTATAGTTTGCTGACATACTAGTTTCAACCTAAAAGTTCATGTAGATTTTTTATTAAATAATCCAAATTTTGACTTTAGTCGGCTGGCTAAATACGTTAAGTACGTATTTTATCGGTCTAGCTGAGGCTGTTAACATCCGCAAATTATACGTGTTAGTGTTTCAGTATTTCCATTTTAACGATTACTTGTATTAATATAAATATAAAAGAAGAATCTTTATTTCAGTATATATACAGAATTGCTTGTTTCACCACAAATATTTATTTTGACGATTATATTTGTTTACATCTTAAAAATTAAAAAAAAAAAAGAAAAAAAAGTGAAAAGCAACTATAAAATAAAAGTGAGCATAAAGTGCCTGTAATTTATCCTCTTGTCTCAATCAATGATGAGAATAACGGTTCCAGTAAATTTCTTAACTGATGGCTGATCGCTATAAAAAGTTTTTTGTCCAAATGACTATTATCTTTGTATTCAATGGTCAAATGATTTTAGAAGTTATTATCACCAATGGAAACAACTCTGTCGGTTCAGCTCCGGTTCACAGAACTGAAGCAGGACAGACCGATAGAACCGATTTCAATAACTGGTTCAGAACAACATAGCAGAAACTTATGATTTTAAGACAACACTTTCACTATTATGTAACATCATGGTTGTAATAATGTGACAATGCATTTTACATTAATGCAAAGTTACAATACACTCACGATGCTGTGACAGTGTTGTTAGATATATCGTAATGATACTGTGAATTTAAATTTTTTAATGTTATAAAACGGTAAACTATTTTAATATTAATAAATTTCAGAATTGTCAAAAACGTAGTTATAATACTTGTAATTGCATAGTGATAATGTTGAAACAGTATTAGAACGATATGATACACTGATACTATACTAAATTATCATCAAATAATTATTAGTAATCATATAAAAAACAATGTTACTGAATATATGAATTATTTTATTAATTTAAACGTAATTTAACCATTTTTTAACATTAAATGTACATAAACTAAATGTAAAATATGCAGAAAATTGATTAACAATTTTATGTAAACTTGAAATTACAATGAAATAAGTATAACATTTATTATAAAATGACTTGTACAGAGACTTTTATACATGCATTAAACAAAAACATAAATATAGAATCATAAACTTCGTAGCCACGCTCAATTAAGGCAATGTATTACTAGACCTACACTAAAGATGACTTTAGCAAGGCTTTCTTTGTGATTTAAAAGAAATTTCATACACTTTGCCAGCTGGTGAGATAGCTTATGACTTCTAACCTCAAGTCAGTTTATACTTTGTCTAATTTTTATTGAAATACATAATTACACCAAGTCCAAAGAGTTGAAGAACAAACTATCTGAAAAAGTAAGATGAATATTAGTACTATTCATTAAAAGAAAAATTAAAGAAAAGAGTAAAATAACTTACAAAATTCGCATACAAAGATACCTTTCATGCACCTAAAGAGCCAAAAACTAATCTAAAGTAATGAAAATGAAATTGTTAGGTTAATGTATTGTTAAATAAAGATGGAGTTTAAAAATATAAAAAAACGTACTGTTCTCACGTCCAAAAACCTGTAAATGTTTGTTAAAGAATAATTTAATAAATCACTTTTCTTACCAAATCCCACGCATCTAAATATTTGAAGACTACAAAAAAGAAATAATAAATAATAAGAAAAACATTACCAACCAAATCTAGATATTGTATTTCATTTACAAAAAGAAAAAAAATGAAACTTTAATAATTGTTTCATTAAGTAAGTAAAAGAAAAAATGGTAAAAAAGTTTTTTTTTAAAGAGAATTTAGGAATTTGTGTCCACTAAAAAAAAAGTAAAAGAAAAAAAACAGGGAAAGGGAAGGTGAAAAAACAAAAGGAAAAAGAATGGAGAAAAATAAAGGGGGAAAAATAAAGGGAAAAGAGTGGAAGATGGAAATGGAAAAAAGGAATTATGAAAGGGAATTGAAAGCTAACGAAAAAAAAAGATTTTAAAAGCTTAAAAAGCTTTAAAAAAGCTTAGTCTTTAATAATTATGCAGTCTGCAGATCATCAATTCATCTTATTGACATTTTATTTACGATGTGTTTTTATAGGGTAATATGAAGTCAAAAAAATTAAACTTCATGAAACTATTAAATAAACTTAATTTATTTTATTGAACAAAACATAGTACTGTATAATTGCCCTGTCCTTCAAGAACTATTATACTATCATGTCAAACTCTAAACAACACTGGTGAAAAAGGGAAATTTTGATCGGATTACATTTTGTAAAATTGCATATCACGTGTATCACGTGAAATATTATTAATATTCGATCTCTGATTTTTTTTTTTAACTAAACTTTCTCTCTTTTGCTCTTTCTCTTTTTTACTCTTTCTCTTTCATTCTTCCTTTTCCTCCCCTTTCGTTAACTTTAGAAATACAAAAATTCCAAGAAAACAATATCCCAAGAAGAAAAAAAAATAAAGTTTACTGAAAATATGGAGACGGCCAGTGGGTGTTTATTTTTTTCTTTTTTTTAGAAGACCGGCTCTTATTATCTTTAGACGTTTAGAATTTTGCATGTGGTTCTTCTTTAAATCTTTATTTTAATAAAATGTTTATTAACTAGTAACATTTTATTCATTATTTTTTTTAGGCTTTTTATAGGAATCTAGCTCTAAACTCTGAAGACACCAAATATTCTGGTAGGTTATAGTATCAATAACTTTTTAGTATAAAAAAAAATTTAATTTTTTGTTTTCTATTTTGTAGGGACTCCAGCTTCGGTTATGGACAGATTCCTTAGTAAGTTTGATCACTTTCGAAAACTTACTTTCAAAAAAATTTTATTAATTATTTTTTTTTTTTTTTTTGTAGGATTTTTGCTCTATTTTAACTACTGGCAGAATCCTGGGAAATTACTTTGAAAACTATGAAACCTGAGTAAGTTTTCAAAAATTTTCAAAATCTATTTTAAAAAAAATGTTAACTATTTTAATTTTTGTAGAATTCACTCGCTAACGTTAAATTTAGGCTTTGAATGCAGATTAGTTTGGACGGAATGTATGTAAGATGTTACATTCTGATGTATAAATATGAAGACTAAAGCTATCTTTTTTCATTGTTAAACACTTCTATTTTTGGATCATACTATATACCGTAAATTGACTGTTGAAGTTGAATTATTGAAGCATTTATAGATGGCCTGACCATAGACATGTAAAATTTTGGTAAGATTCGGCCTCTTTTAATCCCAACATTTATTTCTTTTAATGAAACATTCGTTAATGTATCTATATCTTTTGTAGGTTCAGTCCTAGGTTCGGATTCAATGGAACATTGGATATTAGGAACATGTTTAACATTATTCTTATTTTCTATCTTATAGGTTCTGGTTGGTTTTGAATTATGTTTCTTTATTTTCTATTTAGACATTTTTATACATTTTATACAAGGAATTATATTAATACTTAATAATGTATAGTTAGTGTTGCAATGTAATATAGCATTATTTATTTTATTAAATATATATAATTAAAGTATGTTTACAACGTTGTAAATAAATAATTGTATATTGACTGTATATTCGCAATAGTGAAATGGGTATAGTGAATTCGTTGTTGCAGTAAATTAAAAAAGCATAGTGGCGATACATTTTCTCACTTTTACAATGCGTCGTATGACGTTCAATAACGACGCACAAAACAACGGCTTAACCACGTGATTTTGGTGTGGTACCAACGTTGTTTAAAAATATGATGTTTCTGCAATGAAAGTTCGGAACCAAACCTACTGAATCTGGTTCCAATATTTTACTATTCCCAAACATCCTCCCTTTTTTTTTAATAAATATATAATAAAAATGTGCTTATTTCTTATTATTTTTAATAAATGTACAATTTTAATTTTTTTTAATAATAAATTATATGAATATATGACAAATTTTGATATTTTTTTTTAATAAAATATGCGATTTTTTTTTTAACAACAATGTGCGATATTTTTGACAAAAACATACAATTTAAAGATACATTCAATTCTCTTTGAAAAATATATTCATTCTAAAGAAATATATTCGATTAGGGCCGTGACATATATTACGTAATTTTTTAGGGAGTGCCGATGCCCGAAAGCTGAAAATCTTACGTTACATAGTATATAAATCATGTGATCAATAGTTTGAATTCTCGTAAAAAAATTTTTTTTTTTTTTATTATTGTCTTTAATTTTTATTTTATTTCTTGATATGTATTTTATTATAATCACCATATTTTTGTGTTATACTTTCATTAATAAATAACTTTGTAGAAAATTGCGTTAAAAACATCCTCTTTGCAACATATATTTCTTTTTTAATATATCGCCATTACAAATAAAACAATACATTTATAACATTTTATTCAAAGTGAGATAAAATTTTCAAATTTATTTATTCAAATTTATGATCATTCTTTATCTGATATATTCTCTTAAATCAAGATGAATTTCATCAAATGGAACAATGTGTTCTGGTTGTTATGAAGGTAAAAGAGAAAATCATCAAGAAGCATAGAATTGTGTCTAACACCCTTTTTTGGCCGTCCTCGAGTAGCAAATTGTTAAAAAGGTGAGTATAGGAAAATATTTTTGACAGATGGAGCGTGTACATATTCTTATCAATAGAAGGACAATCTGCATCATAGATTGATATCTTCAAGAGTTCACAATATTGAAGAAGGTATGGGGTTCATAAATGTCCATCTTTAGCTTTGGTAACAGGTAGCAAGAAACGATTGTTAATTTGTAGAAACTCCATGGCATTGTTAGCTCTGGGCGGTCCACAGCAACTTGTGTTCTTGCAGCGTTTGATATCAACTGAATAAACACACAAATTACAATGAATTTCAATCCAAAGACACTGAGGACGTACAAAAATTGCTAGTTGTCCTGTTCGATGTTCATAATTTGAATCATTTAGTTATCATCAAATATACTGAGACTTCTTCATCCAAATTTGGACTTATGGTTAGATTAAATGCAAAATTTAATCCATAAAAATGCAGTAATTTTCACAATTTCATTTTAACATATGATTGTCAATGATCTAATGCATTCCAGGATATGACCAACATTTTGGTACAAAAAAATCTATCGAATTATTTGATATGAGGGTTAACAAATGATCTAATTTCGATAACAATAGTGATGAACTGCAATTCAGAATTCATACCTTGAACTTACCGATATTAACCTTAATAATCTAGAAAACAAAGAGCAAAAAAAACTTATGCTGGCATGGAATAGATTAGGCGCAAGCAGAAAATATATTACACAATTCAAAACTACAGTATTTATACATGCTAGTCTAAACGTTACGCTTACACATGTGTTTTTTTAATCGATCCATTTTGAGATTAATTCAACATGTGAAAATTTAGTGATTTTTGAATCAAATCAATACTAATACTTTTCATAGTCATATGAGGTTTTGATTTTCTGATTGATTGGTTATTACTTATTAGATTCAAAAATATTTAATAAATCGGTATAAAATACTTTTGGTAAAAATTTTATAAGGTAACACCTTAACTGAAAATTCTTCGGAAGTTAAATTATAGAATATAATAAATCGAATACAATGTTGTAAACTATTTTTCAAAGTGTTGAAATCTCCTCTTAAAAAAGTTGTAGGATCAGGAGGAAGTTCGGGATTTTGTGTAAGCTCCCATTTAAGAAATCAGTACATAATTTTTGAAATTCTAAAAAGAATCGTTCTCAAAGCTTGTTTGATATATCAAATTAAAATTTAATTCCATCCAATTTGTCTTATTTTCAATCAAAAAGGATTGTAAATAAGTAATTAATTCTTTAAGACCAAGTTCACTCCTAGCAACCAAGATTTTTCCGAAGTATCATATTCCTCTAAAGAAATTCTTCCATAATAAATATACCTAATAAAAAGTATAAATTAAGAAAATTATTAATTTAAATTTATCCTTTTCTTAATTGTTACCTTAAAATTATTTGAAAATTTTTTCGGGTAAAATATTTGGTAATTTTGTATGTACTAAAGTACTATCATTATATATGAGCACGAAATATCTTTATATAAGGATAAAGGATCATTACCAACTTCAATAATAACATCATAATATTCATCATCTATTGAAATTTCAAGTAAATTCTGGGATAAGGTACGTAAAAATTTATTATCATTCATAATAAAAAAAAGAAATGATAAACAATTTGTTTGAACTTTGAATGGATAACGACCTTAGCATCACCACTTCACTATAACTTTTTTATAAACCAAATTCAAGTCGATCAATACGTCAATTCTACCGAAAATGATTATCGAAATCACGTTTAACAGGCATGTGTAACCGGTAAATAAATCAGACTACCACTTTTCGGTAGCGATGCTGGGGTCGTTAATCCGATCTTGACATAAAATGATTAGTGTAATGTGGGGCAAAATTTTGCCGATCACTAATTAAAAATTTAAAAATTAGCCTACCTTCCCCTTAGGGAATGCCGCCGTCATTTCTGGCCCTTCCCTAATAATACACTGGTTGTACAGAATATATGAATAGAAACTAAATACATTCTTAAACCGGATGCCTTTAGGCTTATTGTCTTTTGTTAAATTTACAAAATATGAACCGTACATTGCCCATAGATTTTTCTAATTTACTTGAAATTCCTGACGATTATGATGTAAAATTTATAGTTGGTAAAGAAGAAAATATTAAGGAATTTAAAGCACATTCGTTAATTTTATCTTCTAGATCAATCTATTTTAAAAATGGATTATCTGCACGATGGGTAAGAAAAGAAGATGGAATCATCATTTTTAATAAGCCTAATATTTCACCTTTGGTGTTTGAGGTTATTATGAAGTAAGTGCATTATTCCCAATTTAATTATTATTTTTTTTTAAATAAAATAATTAATCATTTACAAAAATAATATCATGTATAGGTATATTTATACAGGATTACTTTATATTAAAGATAATAATGAAATTAGTCTTGTTGATGTTGCTATCGCAGCGGATGAGCTTCAATTAATTGAAGTATTTCAACAACTTGAGGAAATTTTAACTGAAAATAGATCTGCTTGGCAACCAAAAGATATTATCAAAGTTTGTCAACATAGTCATTTCATTAATTTATATAATTTTGTATTTGAATTAGTTTGTAGTAATCCTAAAATTATTTTTGAAACGGAGGAGTACTTAAAAATTGAAGAATCTTTCTTTATACAACTTTTAAAATGTGATGATCTTAAATTAGAAGAGATTGAAATTTGGGAATATTTAATTAAATGGGGAATTGAAAATACTAATTCTATTTTAGATGGTGATATAACTAAATGGACGTCAACAGATTTCATAAATCTAGAAAAAATAATTCATAATTGTATTCCTCACATTCGATACTTCCAAATGTCATTCAATGATTATACAAAAGTTAGGACTCAATTTAAGGATATCTTACCGGATGGTCTTGATGGAGAAGTTCTTCAATATTTATCAAATCCTAATTTCAAAACTACATTCAATGTTTTACCCTCAAGATCTCTATTTGACTCGAAAATTATTAATTCTAGAGATGCAGCATTGATAGCAAGTTGGATTGATAAAAAACGTGTAGCATCTTACAATTTTGAAAATATACCTTTTAAACTTAAACTTATTTATCGTGCAAGTCAAGAAGACTTTAAAATCAATAAATTTCATGAGAATTGTGATAATAAGGGACCAACAGTTGTTGTCATTAAAGTTCACGAATCAGGTGAAATAATTGGTGGATATAATCCATTGGAATGGCGTAGTTTTAAAATAGCAGAAGATGAAAGGAGTTCCTTATTATATCATAATTGTGATTTTTACAATAACCATCAACGTAAATCATCAAATAGTTTTATATTTTCATTAACAAATCGAACAGCACCTGTATTAAGTCGTGTCACATCTAAAAGAGAAGCAATCACTTGGTGCAAAAACAAAGGACCTTGTTTTGGATTACAAGACTTGTTTGTGTATTCTTTAAATAATAATATTGTCGGCAAAAGCAAGCAGCATTCTTATGAAAAGAAAGTTATTAACAAAGAAGCTTTTGAAATAGAAGAATATGAAGTATTTCAAATTGTTGATGATAGACTTAGTAGTAGAATTTTTCGAAGTATTAATAGGATTTTTCGATTTATCAAGAGAATGTTTAAGAGAGTAATTCGATTTATTAAATGGATGTTTGGGAAATTTGTTATTTTTCTGCCAGTAATATTTGTAATTTTAATATATTCATTTTCTATATCTTTTGTTTTTTATTTTGCATCAATAATTTACAACTTTTATCAACAAAGTAATTTTTTGGGTGTTATTGGTGCTATTTTTGTATGGTCACTATTACAATGTATTTTGAAATGTCTTTCTAGTGCCATTGCCAATTCTTAAACGCTTATAAAAATATAAAGCGTGTATGTACTGTATATGGTAAGCAGAAGGAATAATAAATACGTAGTGAAATAAATTATATTAAAATACTAATAAATATATCACTGTCGATCAATTTACGAATGTAAACTCAATTATATTTATAACAATAAAATCTATGCTAATCATGTTTAACGTGTATAAATGCTACAAGTTTAATAAATGTTATATGTTGTATATGTTAAATACATATAATATATGCTATATGTTCAATACCCTATAAAAAATGTTTGTCCGATAAATATTCGGAAGAGGTCAATTTTTCAGACACTCGCACGCTATTATACAATTTAATGCAAGATGCGGAGATTGAGAATTTTTAACCACATAAAAAACGTACAATATCATGATGAATGTCCAATAAATGTCAAGTAAATGTTCAGAACAGGGTCGATATTCTGAACAAAAAACCGAACAGTGTTTGGACAATATTTTTTATAGGGAATATGTTGCATATGTTAAATATGTTAAACATATCAAACATTCGTAACATCTTAGTAACATTTGTAACATTCGTGACATGATCGTCGGTTACATGATTATTCGATTATAACACTAGTGTTATTACTATTAAAATTAAATATTACCCATGTTTTAAGTGAAAGATTTGCTGATAATCAATATAATCTATGAAAAAAAATGATAAATCGGTAATAACGAGATGTGAAACTATAAGAAAATATTTTTTTTTCGAAATATTCTGTCTATATTTTTTAAAATTTTGGATCGTCTGTTTGAAATACTCAAAAACATATAAAATTTTATTACACGCTTGAAAATAATACATAATAAAAGAAGAAAAGCTATTTTAAAACGTTTTACATAAAAATATTTAGTATATACTTGTTGAAATCTCGAAAAAAAGGATATAATTTTGTCTTTCTATCATAGAAGAGTAAAAAACATATAGAATTAAGGAATAAAGCAACCAGTGATCTAAATTTAATGAAAAAACTTCGCCTATATAGAGCTAGTATATACAACCTTGTCTATATGTACGTGTTGAAAAAAATAAAAAAAAGTGAAATTTAATATGAAAATTTGTTTGTATAACCAATTTATGAGAGTGACAGTTCTGGCGGTCAATGATTAACCTGTGTGACATTTGAGTTGGACCCCGTTGCCCAAATCCGCCATATGCAATATTACTTGATATTCTTCATTAAAAATTTCTTATACATTTTATTTTGTTATAACTCAAATATTTATATTTCTCCTGAACTATAATGTATATCATCTAGAACAGGTGTGAATATATCGAGGATAAATAAAAAGGATATTATTAAAGCTTCAAATCAATAATTGAAAATTTTATTGTAAGTTTAATAGATAACTTTAAAAAGATCAAAAATTAAGTGAATTTTTAGAGGTTGACAATATAATTTTTTTCATAAAAGTTAGCACTTAATTTGTGACAAATTAATATATTTTCTTATTTATTTGGTATAATAATTGAAATTTCACTAAATTTTTTACCCTTAATATTACTAAAGTTTCCCAGTTGTAATAATCATAATCATATGAAAAGCGGACATATAATAATTTGCGAATAAAATAAAGGCTTAACACTGCTTATTGCTCATTGCTTAATTTCCTCCTTATATTTAATTATTGCACAATGGGTGTTCACCATGTGCTCATCATGAGTTTGTTGTTATGCTAATATTGATGGTACGTTTTAGCTTATTTTTTTTCCTGTCGTTATTTATTTTATTTATTTATTTTACAAACGGAAGAACATAAAAAGGTTATGACTGTGTAATGTTATGGCACGTGATCGATGTATTTCGTATCCTTGATAATCCAAGAGAAATTATTATATAATTTGCCAATAATTAAGTAGTGTTCTTAAGTGAAATTATAATTATTTTTTTATTTTGATGAATTATTTTTAATAAACTAATTTGAACTTAATGAATTTTATTGCTTTTAATATAATCAATAGTCTTTTGTATTTTGATATAATATCATTTTTTATGGATATCTGATATTTTACGCTGTTATATTTATATTGAATAACGTCATGAAGTATAGAAAGCCAAATAATCTAGAAACCCCTAACCAATCGTACAGCATCTATATTATCATACGGCTATTAATGCAGATCATACTTAACATTAGAGTTATCATATTTATTTAAAGTGATTCTTTTTATAACGAACTCCTAATATTTCAATGTTTCTGTTGTTAAATGAAAATTTTTTAAAATTCTATGATTTTAGTGTTTCTAAATCAAGACTAATGTATCATTGTTAATAATTATATATATAGTATATACTTATATACTTTTGTATAAAAAAAGACGTGTAAAATATAAAATTATTCAAATTTCAGTTATATAGTGTAATTAATAAATATTGTATGTATGATAATTTAACTTTATTTTTTAATACGTGAATGGAGTAGTTTGCATTATCTATTTGCAATATCCTTGCTTACAAAGAAATTTTTGATGTTTTGTCTAAATTTCTTTTGATCTCGCGCTTAAGTATAACTAAAGCCATTTATAATCTCATATAAATCCGCTTTGCTGTGCTACAATAGTATAAGCAAGTACTGTATACCAAATTAAAATTGATTTTATATATAATAAGTTGCTCGTGCCCAAGTTTGTGAATATAAAAATAGTAAATATGTTAAAAATAGCAAACTTCACAAATTGATATTGCCTATAAAATTAATAATTTTGGAGAAATTTATATTCAATACTTTCATAAAGTTTTCCAATGCTGAATATGACAATAAAAAAAATGATTATCTGAAAATCAAATAATTTAAATTTCGTGAATATTTTTTCTTTTACGAAATTAAGCGCCCAATATGAGAACCTTATTTGCGTGGCCGGAATTATATAATAAAATGCAAAATAGTAAGTTTTTTTTCATATATAATTTATAGTGATCCATAAATTATATATATATTCGTAAAATCTAAATTTTTTTCTTTAGATAATGAAATTCCATAATGGCATGATAATATCTAACATGAAAAAAGAATTTTAAGAAGTTTAAAAAAAAGAAACTCCTCAGTTTGTTATATGCTGAATGTAATGTATACTTACTTTAGTCAAATACCGAACCATTTCTAGGAAAATTTAAGGGAAACATGAGAGAAGCTGCAAAAAAAAGTGGTCTTAGTATGGTTAAAAATCATACTAATAATTCCTATGATAGGAGAAAGGTAAGCTAACCCTCCTCAAGGAAAGCCAGTTTCTCCTTAATGTTCCTTACTAGTCCGTTACTATCCATTATTACTATACTAAACTAATAAATAAAAGACAAAAAAAAAAATACAAATAATGACAAATATCCTATACTAAACTAAATAAATAGCAAAGAAAAAAATACAAATAATGACAAATAACAAAAATAAAATACAACAAAAATACAACATATTATGGATAATCTGTGGTACCCCTAGTAAGGCGACAATTATCATAGAAAGTAAGTTGCTGGTTTTCAACTTACCATCAAAGCGAAGAAATTCAATATTATCAATATCCGTTCAAATTTATTTCCAATTTTTAAATTCGTTATACGCTGAATGTAAAGTCTAAATAAACCATCAGAAAATATCCAAAAAAAATTATATTTCTTTATCAGAATATACTGACATTATCATCAATATATAAAAATAAATTAGAAAACACTTTATACCATAATACTTATTTTTATTAGCTAAAATATCAAAATTTTAGGAAAGGTCATAAGCCCTTTTCTTTACGTCTTCCTTTAGGTACAGTATGTGGGTTGTTGTGTGTAGGTTTGTGTGTGGGTTTGTGCGTAGGTTGTGTATGTTTGTGTATTTCCTTGCTCTTTCCCTTCCCGATCGTAAATATTAAAAAGAAGTAAATAAGAATAAACTACAAGACACTTTATATCATGATACTTTTGTTTTTTAGCGAAAATATCAAAATTTCAGGAGAGGTGATCGTAAATAATAAAATGAAGTAAATAGAATAAACTACAAGACACTTTATATCATGATACTTTTGTTTTTTAGCAAAATTATCAAAATTTTAGGAGAGGTGATCGTAAAAGTAAATAGAATAAATAAAAAATACTTTATACCATGATACTTTAGCGAAAATAACAAAAGTTTTGAGAGAGATGTTATAAATATTGAAAAGAATAAATAAGTAAGTATATTTTTAAAAAGAAGTTAGGTATATTTGAATTAACTCCAGATTTATCAGCGTAGTAAAAAAAGCAAATAAAGAAAATGCAAAAAAAAAAATAATAACCAGTATTGTGATTGCAATCTACCTCTTTATGGCAAGCTTTGGATGAGTCATTATGAAGAAAAAGATGGATGGATAGAATGATAGATAAATTAATTATTGAGTTTCAATTAAACTATTAAACTATTATTTATATTTACTGAGATAAAACATGCATGATCTTGATATTGATCATCTTTATTGATATTTTTGACAACCAGATCAATGGCGCAAACCACACATCGGACTTAATTGCGAGTCAACAACAAGTTTTAATAGTATAATGACTGATATAACAAAATTTTAATGTCCTTCGATCAAACTATCAACAGAACCCAGAAATATATATATAGGGGTCAGGTGATGAAAAAAATTTTATGAGCTGTACGCATTTTTTCAGGGCCAGAATTATGATAATATCAGCCGGTTACTATAATAGGAATAAAATTCTGACTGGCATTATCAAAAATTATCTAAAAAAGGAGTTCAAGATACGTCAAACTCAAACCTGACCCTTATACTGTATATATATTTCTGGGTCCTCTATCAACCCTGATAAATTGGTACACTTTCTGGTTAACGAGCTAACTCAAATCAAATACCATAATGTAGAGTCACACGGACACGGTAAAGTGTCCTTCTATCATAGCTTCGCCTTTTCAAACGTACAAAACGTTCACATATTGGTCCACGTTATTAACAACATAATTTGCCAAAAATTTAACTTTCCCCACCAAATACTCATCTAATACACAAATCCCACTCTAACACTATTTCTTATAATGCGTCTAATTCAAAGTAACAAACTTTAACTTCACAGCTCCTTACCTTAACCACAATCGTCTAATAATCAATTCATCTCATAGCATCTCTTTTTATTACTTCCACTTTAATTTTGGATAAGCTAGCTAAAAAACATTTCGACTCAATTCAATCTAGTAAAGTGCTCATACATAATTTATTACAATGAATTGTAAATCATTTTATAGTTATCAGCGAAATGGTGAATTTTTTCGAAAAAGTAAATATATTTATCAAAAAATCATCACTAAAAAAAAATATTTACAAATACTTAACGTTAATGAAGTAAATTAATCCTGTTGCAACGCAACAGACAACAGCTAGTAAATACTAAATTTATTGATTATATTCTTAAAATAAAATGTAAAAAAAATTAGTTCGAGTTTGATGACATTTATTAATAGAATGATAAATCAAGAACTTGCAGTTATGATTACAGTTGAAGAGAAAAAAGATACATGAACGTAAAATTTTGAAATTTTATAAAAATTATGCACAATCCACGTAAACAAATCAAATAAAGAATCAAAATTTAATGTAATCAAACTTTTATTTGTAATTTTTCATAATAAATATTGGGAAAAAAATATAAATTTTTAAAATATAAGATTAAATAAATTATATTATAATATTATTAAGTTAAAAAGATTCAAATAAAAATAATGAAAATCTATAAAATTTCTTAATTAACGTTAATTACCTAGCATAATTTTCCAAAAAGTTTTAATAATTTCCATACATTATCTAACGCTAATAAATAATTCATTAGACGATTATCTAATATATATATATATATATATATATATATAAACTCATAATTAAACAATGGCATCTTCGTATCACCATTGTTTGATCTTGTAAAATTACTATTGTTAAAAAAACGCAAAAAAAATTTTTTTACCTTATAAATCTATTAATTTTTTAGAGAAATATGAAATAAAATTTCAACCATATCGCTTATAAATAGGTTAAAGAGCAACTTGCATTATGAAAACTTGTTCTTCAATATCAATGATTCTACAAAAAAATTATTAAGAGTTTAAATAATACTTTTATATTTTGATTGTAAGAAATTGATCGTCACGACGTCACATGGTCGGTATCAATGAAGACACATTGGCTAAAAATATTTTTTTTTATTTAAACAGTTTCAGTTACTACGTATGTAATACATGGATGAAGTAAAATGGGTTAAGAATTTTTTTGACTCGGAGTCAGAACCCGAGTAATTAGTTAATAGTTATCTTTTTTTTTTTTAAAAAAAAAAAAATTTTTAACACGTATAAAAATAAATTTTGCAATAATACGAGTTTTTATTTATTTTATTGTTTTTAACAGAACTTTCATGAAACTTTGGTGCACTAACAAGTTATAATTTTTTGAACATAATAAATACCTGGTAAACAGTATTTAGTGAAAAAAGAGTTATTTTAGATTAGCCAAAAAGGTTAATTTCTGAAACTAAATGGTTAGATAAAGAGTAGTTTTTTTGTAAGTAAAATTCTAATTCTGAGTGAGTTAGATTAAACAGTATAGCTAGTTCATTAACTGGATTTCATTATTTTTTTTTTAACAAAAAATTTAATAATCGTTCCTTTTATAATGAAATAAAGTATTTTTATCATATTCTAAATATTCAAATACACAATTAAGACAATCAAAGATAAGTTGACGAGGCATTTTCAGAAAAAGAAATTTCTATGCTTAAAAAAATTTACAAGTCCATATATAAAAAGGGTAAACTATTTTACTGAACCGAAATTAAACTTTACCTTTTTTTGGATTGAAGATCTAAATAGTTCTAAACTTTTGGAAAATTGGAAAAAATATTTTCAGTTCCCATTCATCGAATTTCTATAAATCACGTGAGTTATTTTTTTTGTTGTGATTTGTGAAATGTGAATCCGTGTATGTTGGTAGCATGGTAGTTTCATGGTGTATTCCGTGAAATAGTAGAAAATATAGTTTATATTTGCCGATCTGCTGAGTGTATACTATGAATTCTGAATATCGTCACATGCATTCTTCGGATACTAAGGAAGAGACCCGCTAACAAGCCGAAAATTATAGATTACGTATGTGCTTTAAATAAAGCAACTAAGTCTACTGTACATAAATACACAATAATATTCAATTTATTATTAGTTTCCTACATCTCATTTTCTTGATTTGTTTTTAAATGTTAACCATGCAGGGAAATATGGAAATAAGTAAAATTCTAGGGAATTTATAGTTATTTTTGATTTAATAAAATCTATCAATGACATTTTGTCATTCAGGTACACAAGTTGAGAAAGGAGAGGTTAACTTCACTTCCTCCATTTGTCACACTAGTCACAACTACTTCAAATACTACAGCTATTCCACTTGTACTTTTCACCAATTTCATTTTCTATTCTGTTTTTCATTATTAACGGCGGATATATTATTACTGTATTGCAAGCAAATGATGCACATGGTAAATTTTCTTAAGGCGATGCAAGCACAAAGAAAAGAATATCATAAAAAGAGTATAACTTGGTTTGCTTATGATTTACTTTGTTTATATTTTCATTGCTTCGCACCAGAACTTTTTTATATAAACAATCTAAGTGTGACGATATGAGTGAAAATTCGTAGTTACCGACAGGGTTAAATTATCGTCAATCAAATTACCGACACAGATAGGTGGTTGGCACAGCAAAATTATCAAAGAATTTATTAAACACAAAACATACTTCGCAACTATACACATTTATTAATTTATTCTGTTTAATATTTATGAATTAACTATTAATGCAGTAATGCTTTAATTGTGGTTAAAATTTATTATAAATATATTAAATTATATTGTTCATATTGTATTATTTATATTGTATTTACATCATTGATTATTTTTTATCAAAGTCTAAAAAATTTGGTTGTCGGTAATTTGTCTCTTTGTTTGTCCCTTCGGTAATTTGATTGTCGATAATTTGACCCAGACTCACTTTTTTTAGCAAAAATTTTTAAAATTTGTCATGGTTAACATCAAATCAATATTTGTTAACATATTTATTATTTAAGTTAAAATTTTGCGATCAGTATTTTTTAACTCTGGCCAATTTGTAATTTTCGGCCAGAATTAAGTGGTGAAATCACCGGTAGTGATAATCACCACTGGTGAGATTTAGCAATATCCTAAATAATTATAAATTCGAAAATTAATACCACAAATAAACAAACAGTATTGAAAGCAACAAATTTTTATAATTTTCTGAATATCTATCAATCAATTTTTTTTCTTTTCCTCCTTTATGCTTTTAAAATATGTTAAGCTATATGATTCTTTTAAGTTTTTGGCATAAGATGATTTTTGTTATACTTTTTTTTGTATAATTTCTTTAAAAATTTAGCCTTTAAAAACATTATTTTTTTCTCAACATAAATGATCACTGAATTTAATTATTGGGAATTGAGAGGTTAGTAATTTCATTGTCGGTAATTTAAATGTCGGTAATGTGACTGGGTCCCAAAAATTTGTTACACCTAATTTACGTAAATGAAAATTTCTCGTATTATGTGACTTTATAGAAAAAAATCTATATCTATATCTATATCTATATCTATATCTATATCTATATCTATATCTATATCTATACTATATAATAATTGTTTTTGTGTGTAACCGTAACGTTTAGACTACCCTGTATAAATAAATTTGAATTGCGTAACATCGCTCCTATTGGGCACTTTATCACGTGACGTTACACCAACATCCAAAAAAGGAAATTTTGCTTCCCACAAAAATAGGGAATTTTGGTTTCACAAATACTCCATAAAAGGAAATTTCTGCGCCGATCACATAATTCCGGCCAGAATTAATTGTTACATACAGGTCACGCTTTTTTTATATGTATGTATACCGTTGCAAAGCAATGGGTTAACGGCTAGTTATATAAAAAAAAAATTTTAATAAATATAATTTTAAAAGGAACATAATATGACATGAGTATTTTTTTCTGTTCTGCAAGTTTATTTAAAGCATCATAGTTGGTTTTTAGTGTCAATTTTGACTTATTTAACAGATTTTGGTTTTCTTCTGTTTTCCCGTTAAATTTAATTCTGTCCAACATTAAATGATCAGCATAGGAAATTTTCTTCTTTGGAAACCCGTGTTTAAACACAAATATAAATCGTCATTATAAAACTATTTTTAATGATTATTTAATTTAAATAGTGTCAAATTTTTTTTTATATATTATAGAATAAAAACTTAAATTTAATCTTGATAAGAAAATAACGCAAAATAATATTAGAATTTATATATTCGTTATAAACGAATGATATTTTTAAGACTGTAACAAAAAAGAATTATAAACTAACAAATAATTTTTTTTTTTTATAAATATAATAAATAGTAATTTAATGTATTTTATACATTCATTTTTTGTAAGAAAATGCAATTACTTCCTTTTATTTAAATCACATGAACGGCAAATTTTATGTATTTTTGAAGGAATTTCTCAACGCAGATCAATGTATCGGAAAAATTATGACCCAAAGATATTTTTTATTGTAAGATCAGTGCATCGGAAAAATTATGGCCCGAAAATAATTTTTTTATTGTAAATGTATCGGAAAAATTATGGCCCGAAAATAAATTTTTTATTGTAAATGTATCGGAAAAATTATGGCCCGAAAATAATTTTTTTATTGTGACTTCTACTTTTGGTTATTAGTATTCCTTTTAGTAACTCATTTATGAAAATTTTTGTATAAAAAATTTTTCTAGAAAAATAATAATTTTTTTAGTAAAATATCAAAATAAAAAAAATGGAAACCAAATTTTCTAATATCTCAGTTACTGATATAGTAAACACCGAAAATTGTTCATATTGCAAAAAACCCTTTACTGAAGAATTATGGTGTAAAGAATGTATAAATTGTTTAGAAAAATCAGCAGAAAATGGTTTCACTGATTCAATGTATAATTTAGCCATATGTTATGTAAATGGAGAAGGAACAGAAAAGAATTTAGAAAAAGCCTTTTATTGGTATCAAAAAGCAGCAGAAAATGGTTTCACTGATTCAATGTATAATTTAGCCATGTGTA